CATTTCCCTCCTTGTGACCCAGGTTGGCGGCTCCTTGTAGGGAGGGGGACTCTCCCTCCAGGCATTACCCGCCTCCCCACCCGCCTTCCTGTCCTCCACGCCAGAAGTTGCATTGAGCAAGGTTAGCTTTCTTTCTCTTCATACTGTACTTTGTGTCATATTTTTGCGGTTTAAAAAAAAACAAAAACATATGGTTCAGAACGGGTTAACCGTAATTACATTGAACCTTATGGGAAAATTGGAGCCGAGTCGCGCCAATTTTGGGTCGGGACCAGAGTCACGGAACAAATTAAGTTTGTGAACTGAGGTACCACTGTAAATGGGGGAAGCCAGATTTGCTTAACAACCATGTGATTCATTCAACGACCGTGGCAAAAAAGATCATAAAATTGTGTGCGACTCACTTTACGACTGCATCGCTTAGCGATGGAAATTCCGATCCCAATTGTGGTCATAAGTCAAGAACTACCCGTATAGTTTTCTGCCAGCTCAGGGACCGGTGGTTAACAGCGCACTTTAATGTGACTGGAAGGAAGAGCCCCCTGTGTATGTTTGGGAACAAAACCAGGATGCAGCTATCCCAGAACATACCATATTTTTTCACCTCAAACTCTGTGGTTGTGTTGAAACCCATTGCATGGATAAACTGGGCTGTGATGGTCCAGATGCCAGGCCTGAATAGGAGAGAAACAAAAACAGAAGGAAACCTTAGCTGGTGCATAGAAAAGCAGGGTCTGAAAAACCACGCTCCCACACTGCACAACAGAAGATCTCAGGGCTGGAGCAATTTTGCAAAGCCTGCTTGTGCCGCTGGCTAGAAATCTAGTATCCAAAGCCCCCTTAAGTAACAATAAACTCCATTCAGGTGGAAAGTCCCTCAGTCCAGGTAGACTTGCTACAGCAAACCTGAGTCTGTTCCTCCCCATCCAGGCCCCAAGAGTCTCCCGGCATAATAACTAGAATGCCAAATTAAATAGCAATCTGGGTTAAATACATCTGAAATAACTGCATGGTTGGGATGGCCTTTTTTTTTGCAGATCAGGGTAGAAATCCCAGCTTCAGCCTGCAACATCACTGCATTTGTGTTTTCCAACTTCTGGGAAAAGCTGGAAGTAGCAATGTCCAGGGAAACTTACTCAGCAACATCAGGAATTGACAGGTGGTCTCTTATGACATAGTTCATGGCGATGCGTTCAACTTTCCTGACCTGAAGTCCCCGTGGATTCTGATGGAGACAGTGAAACAGGAACACAGTGAGTGATTTAAAAAAAAAAATGCTGTTACAAGTAGCAAGTTTCCCATGTGTAAAGCTCCAATTAATATCGTTTTTTTAAAAAAAATGTTTTATCAGGCCCTCCTTCGCTGCCCTTTAATCAAGCAGCTCGCTCATTACCTTCACAGTGATGACGACGGGATTGTTGCTTGGCCGTAACTTGTGATCCAGAGGAAAGACTCGGAAATTCACTGGAATAAATGAAGGAAAGCGGGGTGTGAGAGAAGGAAAAGAGGAAGATGCTAAGGCAAATCCAAAGCCCACCTTACAGGGTTGTTGTAGTGGGGGAAAAAGGAGATGGGAGCATTAAGTAATGTATGTACACTGCCTTGAGTTGACCTAGACCAGTTTCCCAACCTTAGCAACTTTGATAAATGGAGGAGGTCTCACCCCCCCCCCAATAATCTCCAACCACCGCCGCCCGGGGTAGGTATCGTCGGGGGCGCACCGAAT